TCTGTTCCTTGGAATCATTTTGTTGCAGCGAAGACATGCAACACAAGCAGAGACAGAGCATCCGTGCAGCTAAAGAACATCTAGGCAGCGCAGGAGCTCTGATGCAATTTAGTGCATTTCCGTTGTCACAGCGGGTGTGGAAGAGCCTGTTTATGGAAATACAGAAGAGTGGAGGAATTATATGTATGCATATACATATATATCTTTGTGTGTGTATGCACATGCACATGTCTATACGTTTTATGAAACAGAAATGACCCCTGTTGCCGAAGCCCGAGGAGATGATCTGGTGTGGCAGGAATGTCAAAATCACTGGATACACCCTGCCCAGCAACAGGCAGAAAGGGAGTTAACAGCTACTTTACACTGAAAGATACTGTCACTGCTACCATCAGTACAATCGTTTTAATTCCTAGAGGATAAGCAAACAGTTTTTAAAAAGAAAGTACTAAAACTAATGTGGGCTTTTCCCATGCTGGGCTGCATCCTGGCAGGTGAAAAGGAACTGCCTGCAGATCTGCTCTGTGATGGTGGTTGCCTCAGTGGAAACAGTTATACTTGCTGTGTGCTAATGAAACGCAATCCTAACCGGCTTTGTTTCCTAAACATGAAAAAAACTTGAGAGCAGAATGAACTGGGAGAAAATGTTGATGCATGAAGGCAGGCAACATTTTAATGACATTCCTCACTAATGCTTTATTACATGTCCATAAAATTAAACCACCACAATCCCAGACACATTCTATAATCATAAAGGTCTTTGATTAAGAACCCCTCTTCTACTGGCTGAAGAAATGACCTTTAAAAACAATGCTGACTCATTTGCTGTGATCGCAAGGGAAAAAAAAGAAAGTAAGAGAGAAGTACACTCAAGGAGCCAGAAAATATAAACTGTGATAAAGGAGGATGAAGGTATCGGTAGAAGACGACTGCTAGGATTAAAACCAGAAAGAACAGAAAGTCTGAAGCAAACTGACTCCTGGAATGGTACAGCATTTGCCCAAACAATTAATACTAATTTTTAACGAATCTTCAAAGAACTAAGCAGCACCAAGTAAAGCGGAGTTCTTTGATGGAATCAGTGTTTTGGGTTGGAAAGGACCTTTACAGGCCATCTAGTCCAACCGCCCTACAATGAGCAGGGACATCATCGACCAGATCAGCTTGTTCAGAGCCTCGTCCCACCTGACTTTGAACGTTTCCAGGGGTGGGGCCTCTACTACCTCTCTGGGCAACCTGTTCCAGTGTTTCACCACCCTCATTGTAAAAAATTTCTTCCTTATACCCAGTCTAAACCTACCCTGTTTGAGTTTAAAACCATTACCCCTTGTCCTGTCACAACCGGCTCTGCTAAAAAGATTGTTGCCATCTTTCCTATAGGCCCCCTTTAAGTACCGAAAGGCCGCAGTCAGGTCTCCCCACAGCCTTATCTTCTCCAGGCTGAACAAGCCCAACTCTCTCAGCCTGTCCTCATAGGAGAGGTGCTCCAGCCCTCGGATCATTTTTGTGGCCTCCTCTGGACCTGCTCCAACAGTTCCATATCTTTCTTGTGCTGAGGGCTCCAGAGCTGGACGCGGTACTCCAGGTGAGGTCTCACCAGAGCAGAGCAGAGGGGCAGAATCACCTCCCTCGACCTGCTGGCCACACTGCTTTTGATGCAGCCCAGGATACAGTTGGCCTTCTGGGCTGTGAGCACAGATTGCCAGCTTATGTCCAGCTTTTCATCCACCAGTACCCCAAGTCCTTCTCTGCAGGTCCCACACGGACTTCTCTCACATGGGCCCACTTCTCAAGCTTGTCCAGGTCCATCTGGATGGCATCCTGTCCCTCAAGTGTGTAACAACTGCATGACTTGGCATACTGTCATCTCAAACTTGCTGAGGGTGCACTCAATCCCACTATGTCATTGATGAAGATATTAAGCAGTACTAGTCCCAATATGGATCCCTGAGGGACACCACTTGTCACTGGTCTCCACTTGGACATTGAGCTGTTGGACCACTACCCTCTGGATGCCACCACCCAGCCAATTCCTCATCCACCAAGCAGTCCACCCATCAAATCCGTATCTCTCCAATGTAGAGAAGGATGTTGTTGGGGACCACGTCAAAGGCCTTACAAGTCCAGATAGATGACATCTGTTGGTTTGCCCTTGTCCACTGATGCAGTCACTCCATCATAGAAGGCCACTAGATTGGTCAGGCAGGACTTGCCCTTGATGAAGCCATGCTGGCTGGCTGGAATCACCTCCTTGTCCTCCATGTGCCTTAGCGTAGCTTCTAGGAGGATCTGTTCCATGATCTTCCCAGGCACAGAGGTGAGGCTGACAGGTCGGTCGTTCCCAGGTTCCTCCTTTCTACCCTTTTTAAAAATGGGTGCAATGTTTCTCTTTTTCCAGTCACCAGGGACTTCACCTGACTGCCATGACTTTTCAAATGGAGGATTGCTGTATCACCAAACACATACACCTTAGCGAGCTAGACCTGTTTTGAGTACTCACAACTTGAGTTGTGCTTCATTCACCAAGAAGGACAACTGAGTTTGTTTCACTTCCCCCTCCCCTCCAACCACATTACTGGATCCCAGTTATCTAGAACCACACAGCAAAAGAGATGGAGGAATAACCACAAAACAGACCTGTAGACACTGCATCCCTGAAAAAAACACATTACAGCAAGCACTAGTGCCACCGTGCACTAGTGCCCACTGCACTGCAGACACCACCTCATGTTGGGAGAGCAGCACCGTGCAAGAGTCTCTTGGAGTCTCTTGGAAAAAAAAGGAGAAGTTGACACCCTGTCTCCCTGGGCTGGGAGAGGTGCCAGCAGACAAGAGGGAACCAAGGGGACTCCCAGTCAGCCCTGCTCTGTGGCTGGTGCCACCGGCTGCAGTGCAGTCTAGGCCTGACCCGACATGCCTGCAGCCCGCTCCTCCATCCCACCCCTGCTCTGCCTCCCTGCGGTGCGGTGGGGTGGCAGGCAGCAGCCCTTCCCCACCCGGAGCTGCTTGTGGCCTCCATCAGAAACCAGCTCCTTCCTCCCATGAGCTGGCCCAGGCTGCAGCAAGAACCCGCTTCCTCTCACGCTCCCACAGCTTTCTCCACCAGACCCTCATGAAATCAACGAGCACAACATAGACACCTTAGTTTTTAGTCCCTAGTTTGCTCTGTTACATAGTAAAGAAAGGGTAAAGAAAAAAAAAAAAATTGACACTTACCTTCTGGGCTTGAGTGTTTTGTCAGGACCAAATCAGCTGCCCTAAAGAGCTATACAAAGCAGTAACTTGCACTGCAATAAACCTGCAATCACTCTGCTGAAAAATCCTGAAAATTCCCTGATGAATTTTCCTGGAATCTCCAATAGCTATTGCATGACTCTGGAAACCATCCTTAATTTCTTGTTTGCTTCTGCCAGCAGGGAGATACATCACATGACGCAGGGGTAGTGCCTACACTGACCATTGAAGGCAAAAGATGAGTTTAAAAAGAAAACGTTTCTGCTAGAATAGGTATTGAATCAAATAGAATTCAAGGTCATCCAGAGGTTGGGGCTAGGCAGATGTCAGAATTCAAATAAATGCATTTAAAAGAAGTACTTACTGTGCTGGGACGATTTCTGACATGGCAAACCCTCCATTATGGCTGCCTGTTTCAAGTCTTGGTGTCTAATTTAGAAAAAACAGCTGAGGCAGGGCTAGCATAATCTTTGGCTGGTGTTACGTTATATTTGAATATATTTATTTTCTTTAAGAATAAGACAAATTGATGTCTAAAATAATTTAGACTACCTTTAAGACATGAGGTTATGGAAAACCTTCCACCACAGAACGCATTGCATGCATCCTTAATTTGGAGAAATTTCATTTGATTAGAAATGTCAGAGATGGGCACCAGTGACCAGCATTCTGAAACTTCCAGCAGGATACCATTGTGTCTTTTTAAGTTTGAAGTCCCTTTCCAGAAAAGCTGTATCCAAAATGCTTGTTGCTCAGTGAGTATAAATCGATAAATTTGGAATCAACTTTCACTCCAGAGCAGAAATTCTTTGAGGCTGGTGTGAACCAACCTGTCCACATCCTTGAACACCTTCCCCTGCTGTGTTCTTTATTTACATGGATTCAGACAGTTTCATACTGTCTCTCAAGTTTAGCTTTCTACTCTTGCCCTATCTTTTCCATCCAAACAGGCCTATTTCCAACTGCTCATTCTGACCCTGGATGAAACTGTATCTTTAATCAGGCCTGGTCTTTTCTGCCCTGTATATTACTAAAGTCCTTGTGATGCAGATCACTAGAGGTGACCTTTGGCTCTTCCTTCTTTTTTCTTTTTTTGGTCTCATTTACCTGTTGACTACTTTCTCTAGCATTTTAAGACTCCATTTCTTAAACCATGGAAAACTTTAATTTTCTTTAGGTATTTATGAAAGCCAATAGAATCGTATTTTTGTGGGGTTTTCTGTTGGTTTTGTTTGTTTGTTTTTTTAAAGCTGGACACAGCCTTATAAAGTAAAATTCCATCCAGGTATCTACAGTTTCCCAACACAATTATTGTACCTCCAGCTTAAGTCTCCATTTCCAACTCTTAAAATGCATACACACAGTTCAACTATAAGGATTTTTCTTTTTCCTTAGTGACATCACTGTTTCCTACTCAAATCTTTCTGTCATAGCTACATTTTTGGTATCAAGGACCAATTTAAGGAAGAATTTTTGATCAGTTTAAGCAGCACAGTTCTTTTATGAAGGTTGTGCTAGTACAGATGTTGAAAAGTAGTTAGCATTGGTCCTGTACTATGTCTCATTTGCACCCATGAAGTATTCCTCCTCACTACTCTCCCAATCCATAAAAAGGCTTCCTAGTAAACCTGTTAACACTTTTCATACTCACAGGTTACTACTTTTTTTTCCATTGGCACTGTCTGAAGGAGCTATGAATTCCCATGTCAACACCCTGGACACAGCCTTAGATACCGGCTTGCTGTTAACTGTCCGAAGGCTCCACAAACGGCTGTGGTTAGATCTCAGTATATCGCTGCTCAAACCCTCCCTTTTAAATTGGTATTACCTTGACACCTCATCCATCTCAAAAGAGCAGTCCAGAAAAGTTCTCTTCCCCAACACAGCCAGGGATGCTTTTTAAATGAAAATCTCATTTCATGGCACAATCTGTTGACTTAATTATTACAATCAGTTATAGTGGCAGTGCTTTGTATTGAAGCAGTTTTATTGAAAAGATTGATTTTTTTCATAAATAAAAAAGGATATATTTTAAACTTTTTCCACACATGAACATAAAAACTCTGAAAGCTTTTAGAAATGAAAATTAACTATATAAAAATTAGGGTATCAATGTTAAATACTTAAATTTTTGTTCCTACTAACTGAAATACATTTATATCTATCAGTATAAAAATCTTCATAATAACGGGTAATACAACATGAATATTTCCTTTAACTGAACGTATTCACATTTTCAATACATAGCTATTTCCAGCAAGTCTCATCAGTCTATGCCTTTCTCTTTCGAGGAGTCCCATTAAATTCTGAAGGGTGTATTTGCAGTGGTTGCTGTTGTTGCTGCTTCTTTGCGGGAGAGTAGAGCCATTCTTCTGAGCTAAACAAAAACATAGCACAGCAGCTTATAAACCAAGCCTGTTTTTCTATATATATAAAAATAAAGACATATGTTATATATATATTTGATACAATTGGTGCAAAAGCACAGAGCTCCCACTAGCATAAATATTATAAACCCCGTATTTGTGCACAGCTTCTTATTCTTGTAATTATTTTGTTAAAATTAGGAATAGCATCAGCCTAGTACTAGATAAATACATAACCACTCAAGTTCTCTACATGTGGATAAAAAATTAAAATAATAACAAATATAAATAATAGAGACATAGTAATACAGTAAAAACTCATTCTGAGTTTTACAGAACACAACTGAGTAAGATTTAAATAATCTAAAAAATAAGACCACAGTTCAGCAACAACAATGATGCAATCATGAGGAGAAACATGAGAAATGGAAAATCAGTTCCATGTCATTTTAAAAATACAGACTTACGATTTCTCTGGTGGTTTTTTTTTTGGTTATTTTTTTTTGGTTGTTTGTTTGTGTGTGTGTGTGTACAAATGTTCATTAGCCACAGAGGTAATGTAGAAGCAGATACACAGGTAAAGACATAACAGAGTTAAATAATTTACCACCAGCTCACCTCAGACAGTTACTTAGAAATTATGTAAGCATGATTCTTTCTCTGTTCATCTGCCCAGTATTTGACATTGAACCTTAAAAGAGTTTACAGACAAAGCCATCTCAAGTATTTCTGGGGTATAACAGAGTTGAATATACCAGAAAATACAGGGAATGTGAATGCACAAAGATGCCAATCAATCAGTTCATAAACAGAAACACAATTAGAATTAGCAAGCAAATCTTTATATCAAGCTTAAATAACAGCAGAAACTTCAAAGAAAATAAAAGTTACCTTGAAAATCAGCCTTACGCAAACTCTACTCATTGTTGGTTAATGTATACAAATAAGAACTAAAAAAAAAAAATATCTCCCATGAAAAAACCAAACTAGTTTTTGCTTTGAATTCAGGATATGGGAAAACAATGACTAGATGCAGAATAGACTTACCTATACAATTTTTTTACTGTTTCTCTTCGCATTCTTTTGGGGGGAATGGGGGTGTCAGACATATCTAACATTATAGGCTGAAGTAGTGATTCAGTGACTTTATCTGATGGAGTCATACCTATGAAAAAGTTGCAAGCACAAATTTTAAAAAAATATTAATCCTATTGGTTATAAATGTGTCCTGTAACACTGGTGTTAAACCTTTAAAGTAAGGCTCCAATTTAGACATGCCATAAATTTTGTAGTTAACCTTATGTCTGAAACTAAATTAAAAGATGACAGGTAAAAACATTCGCTTTATTTATAGTTGTCACAGAGTATATATTGGTGTTCTAAATATATTTTGAAATATCATAAATTATTTGATATTGACATGAAAAACATTTCTAACTACAAAATACTATCCTTGCAGAATTAGGGATGTTTCTTTTTGTAGTACAATGTTTTGATTGTGTTTCCTTAGCAAAAGCAATTCAGCTCTTTACTACGCAGTCATTTCAAAAAGAATGTCAATGTTCTCTACGACTGGGCCAGCCAGACTAACAGTTATATAATCTCATATTAGTGAGATCATAGTTTCATGTTCACAAGACACTAACTGACCACATTTTTATTGTCTGAACACATTGCAGGGCAGTGCTGGTCTAGGCAATATCCACAGTATCACACTACGTACAGATTTTAACAGTCTTCCTTCATAGTTGAACTTGTTAGTTTGTAAGAGTAGAATATGTCTGGGATGAACTTATAAGTTCTCCTCCTTTAGGACAAAAAATAGAATACAATAACCTACCCAATTTTTGTTCTATTAGCTTGAGACTTTTCTCTTGTTCGGCAAGTTCCTGTTTTTTCTTCAGCGCTTCTGGAGTGTTAAGTGACTGCAAATGTAAATCAAGGTCCTTATTCACGTTATCAAGTTTCACCACTGCTGCACGGTACTGCTGAAGAAGATCTAATTGAAGAATAAAATAATAAAACACAAAACAGTAAATATGTAGTCATTTTGAGTTAGAAGGCTACCCAACACAATCCAGACAACGTATAAGATTCACAAGAACACATACCTTTCAAAAAGCACTACTTAAAAAAACGCACCCAAACTTACAGTGGACCAGTGGCTGTTCTTAAAATAACTCTAAAGACAGACTGATTTCTCCTTTCTTTTTGAGCCTGTATCTTAGATCACAGTAAAGTACCAGCAAACTGTGAAAATGATGTGGCAAACAGGTATTTCTTTACACATCTTGTTGCTTGTGTGCTCCAAACTGAGTTACCTACTTTTGATGCCACTGAATGTGCTTGTCGTATGTTTTACTTTTAGTGCTACAAAGCTGAAGCTTGTATTACTGACTTGAATTCTAGTCCACCTTGTGGAACAAGAGAATACAGCTGAGTTTCATTTTGTCCCACCTATGGAAATTTAAACAAGGAGACAGCAACAGACTCCGGTAGATATTTTGCTCATAAACTTTGTTCCTCTTTTAACACGAGACAAAGAATTTTTCTTTGTCCAGGCATTGAATAAATATGTCAAGTATTAAAGAAAGGGTTCAAGCACGTTAACCCAGGCTTGTTCATTTTACTTTGTAGTGAATACGAGGGAGTTCGCACAAAGCTTAACAGAACGCTAAATTACCTTACATTTACCACAGGGTGAAAGCATTCACATAGATAGTTACTGCAGACTGACAAAAGGCACTGTAAATTCTTAGTAGAGTTTATCTTAGAAGTGCCTTGTCAGTGTAATCACAGTTTAAGTAACTATCCTTTTATGCTACAAGCATAGAAGAGGAGCAAGTCACAACTAATGTTAAGGCTGAAATTCAGTTCAAAACAAGTCTTGTGTAATGGAGTGCTGTCCTTTATATGGAATTTCACTATTATTTTCCTCTAAATGTCTAGTAACTATCCAAGTGAAATTAAAACACACCCTTTTCTTCTACCATAATTGTTCCTGTATTAAATTATAGACAATTCCAATTTAATTCACATTGGGTAATAATTGAATTCAACAATTGCAAATGAGTTGACAGGCAAATATAAAGTGTGCTTAACCCAGTGTATTTCAGTCTGTAGCTGAAATGCTTGCTATGTTTTTTTCACATGTAATATATTTTTATATGTATTTTTATATTTTACTATAATTTATACTTTAATATATTTTTCTATTTATGAAATGCCTAGGAAAGATATTTTTAGTCTTCTTCTCCCTCAACTGTTCAATGTTAAGTAGTTTGCTTATATAGAAGGCTACTTCAATAGGTACATGCGTTCTCTCTCGTTCTCCTCCCACCCCTCCCCATTGCACATTTCTAGAAATACTGTCATGGAAAAACTTCGTATCCTTTCTTTTGAAAATGAAGTATTTAAGAACAACCTTATTTGTGAATAAGACTTTTCAATGTTCTACAAATCAATCAGGTCAGCTGTTACATGTTGAAGCTGCCATCTTTTAACTTCATTTCTAACCTTTATTCTTTGGAAGACTCCCAGCACATAATGCAGTGTAAGTGATCCCACAGGAAGTACAAGGTACCTTCTTGTTAGGGAAATAATGTAAATGTTGTTGTGCGTGACTCTGATGAGAACAGGAATTTCTGCTTCACAGAGCTTACTTGCACAGTAAGAACCTCTAAATTGATGTATAGTGTTTCCAGAGAAAGACTTCTGTTTTTTAAGGATGCTGGAATTTATCAGCTCAAGCTTCTCACACCTGCTGTTTGAATGATTATCACTGTTTATACTCTTTCTTTAATATGACTAAGAAAAAGGAGGAATATCTAATGTTTATTATATTTTCTTACAGGAAATTTAAAAGCTGTAAGCTTTTAAGAAAAAGGAAATTCATAAACAGGACATTGTACAGGTCATATGTCTTAAAATAACTTTATGCTAAATTGAAGTTTTCCTTTTTATATCATATAAGAGAATAACAAACATAGGTAAGCAATTAATTTTGGAAGTTCTGTGTTTTCATGACTTCATTAACCCACCTATCTGTCCAGAGAAAGTAGAGTAAAGTTTTGGCATGGGTGCTCCAAATACCATTCCTCTGAGTTTGTCCATTGGAGGAGCTTTATTCTGAAGACCTCCAAATTTTCCATTGCTGCGAATCCTGTCTCCTTCCCTAGTCAGCAAAGTAGGGCAATGTGTAATTTTTACAACCTACACAGGTATAAAAAGCAATACTAAATTAGTAACTCCATGGGAGAAAAATAAAATAAAATAAAAAAAAAATAATCTAAGTTTTCAGCAATGCTGCTGTGAAGCTTTGCGTCTTTCAACTACGATGCAGACTGTTTTCTAATGAGATGCATTTTATGAAATTATATTTCATTACTTTTGCTTTCAAGTAATAGAATGCATGTATTAAAATTAAACAGTACTGTTGATAATGATGACGCCTAGATTTTTCAGGGTTTTTTGGGTCCTCAGATTTTAACAGAACTCTGGAAAAAGAGGATACTGGAGAACTGGGAAAAAGCTAATTATCAACATATACTATGAAGTAATGGCAATAAACAATAGTATTGATAAAAAATGTGAGCACTTATTCAATTATTTGATGAAGATGGCTTTTTTTTTTCAAATGCACAAGATTTAAAGCATCTAAATTCCAAGGGGTTTATTTCTTATAACACATTCAATAAAACTTCCATATAGTTATTGAAATTTACCCATGGTGGGTGACTGAAACAAATGGGGTGACAGACTGACCAAGCAAAATGACCCAGCCTCATTTTGAGAAATGACCACATATACTTTAAACTCCTTTTCCTGAACAGACACAGATGGTTGGTCTCCTGACACCGATTTAACAGAGATCTGACTCTGTCTCTTCTGTTTGATTTTGCAGTAAAAAATACATACGTGCTAGCTATTTGTTCACTTGATGAACAGTGAGATGGTTGTAAAACATGATGAAAATTAAAATATTAATGTGAATCATTGTTTTTGACTATATCCATATTTCCAAGACACCCTTTGGAAACATTCAGGGCAGTCCTTGCTCCCAGGTTACCAGCTAGTGGTAGCCAATAAAAAGGGAATGCAATAACAGAGTAGAATTGCTGGTCAGGCCCAGAGCAGAAAGTCCACGTTGTGCTAACTGTGAAAGAACAAAACAGGCAACCAATTTTAGATGCCACCAGAGGTTCCTTGTTACTTATGGTTCTCTTAAGAACAACCCTGCAGTACAACTTCTTATACTTCTGGAGAGGAAAAAAATTAAGACTATCGAGCCCCAAGAGCTTAATGTTTAATTAGTACAGTTCTACATTCTTATGCTCAATCATTATTTCAATTTTAGCATATTCATAAGCTGAAACAGAAAGCGCCCAGTGTCAGGACTCCTTCAGACACTCCTGCCTACTAAAATGTGTCCCATTAAACTAAATAAAATGGTTCAGAAGAAGGTCTAGGAAGTTTCACATCAAGATTTTGGTGATTTTAGCGGATCTGAAATTTCATCATGTGCCTCAGACTCCTGTGTTTTATTACACATACAGGTACTAGGAAAGTACTGAAGAATTTGCATTTAGCACTAACAGCAAGACTAAAAATGTGGTCCCATGCTTCATGGCAACATTCACATAATGGAATTTTTTGAATGGAGGTGATTTTGTCAGTGCCAATAATAAAGATTTCATTCACTGTTAACTGAATTGAGACTTACAGACAGTAAACACACTTACAGCTAATGCAGCAATAAACTTAGCAATTATTCTAAGTTTGGAATGTATTAAATATGTAGCTATGTAATATATTTGTTTTAAAAAATATCAAGAATAATTGAAACATACCTCTTTTCTGTAATGGTTGGCAGCATCCAAGTTATCTATAATGATAGTGTCACCCAAGAGCATCCCAAACACTGAAAAATGTAATTTTTTGAACCATGAAATTTCTCTGCAACAAAATAACCTGAGTTTTGAAAAATCAATTCTGAGGCATCAGTATTACAGCTTTTCAGTCAAGCGCAAGGGAAATAGCAGGTACATGATTTTTTTTTCAATGTAATTTTATTCGGAGATTGAGATAAATATGCAATCTTCTGTTTTCATCAAAAAATTAATGAAGAAAAAATTTAGTATGTTTAATTGCCTTATAGCGTAACTATTTTCCACCGAAGTACTCTCTTGATATCTTACATTTACATTTATGAAGAAACACATAATAAAATCCCAAGTTTTAGGAAATTACATAAATGAGAATTTAAGTCCTCCTTGAATGGTTTTCTTGGTTTCTTAATTTGTTTCTTAATATTCAATTGATTATCAAAGAAAAAAAAATTCCCAGGCTAATGATCCAACTGATTTTAAGACTTTTCTTCTGCCAATAAAAGACTGTTTTATGCAAAGTCTAACTTGATGTAGCCTTGCATGAGGTATGCCAAGCAATGCGGCTTTTAAACTCCCCCAGAAAAGTAATAGCCTATCTGCTAATGAGGGACACAAAGAAGAATTTATGGTTAAAGTCTCTGACAATATCTAACTTTCTGAAAATAAACTGGACTAAAAATTATTTTTTATTAACAGTAGAGAGGAATATTTCAATACTGGGAAGTTGTGAAGTAAAATGAAAAACATTGAACTAATTACAGATTCCAACTCTCAATATAAAGAAGTTGGTCTACTTAATTTAAGGAGTGTAGGAAAAGGTAGGAACTGCTACATTAGAAAAAGCAAGAGAATGATGGTTCCCTGAACTGAAATCTACATAAAAATTGAAAGCTTATTTTTACTATAACTATTTAAGTATAACATATATAGCCATGTAGTTTGGTCTGAGTGTACATAAATGTATGCATTACACATTTTTGAGAGGAATAGGACTGGAAAAACAGCCTAACAAAAGCACTACCTACTGCAATATGAAAATATAAAACTAATATCATGATTGTCAGTTTCTGCTTACATGAGCCTGGGAATAAGATAATGCTGCACTAATTTAAAGAAGAAAAAACCTCCAGTATATAGAGTAGAGAAAATAAAAATAAGACAACAAGCAGAAAACAGTGGTCATTGCTGAAATTTTCACAACTGTTGTTTGCAAATACTTAATGCTAATGTCATCCTCTTTTTGCCAGCAGACCTCACGAGGAATGTACACCAGTATTTGCAAATGTCTCAGTGAAGATTACTGAACGGGTTATGATTTGTGATGTTTCTGTATTTCATTTATTAAAAAGAAAAGTTACGAACAATTTATTTTGTATCATTTACCTGTTTGACAATGCTCTACATTATCTGGAAATGTTAACAGATCTCTGGCAAATACAGGATTTCCAATAGGTCTGAAGAAGATTTTTCCATTTCTTAAGTGAGGTAAAGGCCTGGTCAAAGAGAGGCAAGAATGAGAGAGAAGAGGAGAAAAAGTAGTTTGTCATTATTTCATTATTGCTTCTGATAATCTAGTCAGAAATCTCAAACTGAATTGAATGTATCTTAACACTTCTACATTAGGTGCCAAATGATCCCAACATTATCTGAAATGTCAGTTATATTAAAGATTCTTTGGTGAAACACTAATTTGTACTGACACATATGCAACAAATTCATGACTAATTTTACAGACAAGTTTTAATACACTATTTTATAAAAACGGAGAGTTTGGACCTTATAAATACATTTGCACATCAGACCTTTTCTAAAAGGCATTCTTTATGATAATAGCAGCCATCTTCATAAGAAAATTATTTTCAGGCACAAAATTATTATATTTTCCTTTATCTTCCAGGAAATCAAAACAACAGGATGAATTTCTACAGATTATTTTAGGGAATGTACTCTGGAATTGAATTTTTTAAAAGGTTAGAATTTTATCGGAAGCACTAAAATGATTAAAAAAAAGTTCCTTTTCTAGAAAACATGTAGAAATGATGAAGAAAATGGCAGATTGTCTTTTTAAGAGAAACACCTTATTAAATAAAGAACAATGTGCTGTTAAAGATATAAACCTAGGATTTCAGCTAACATTTCAAGGGACATTACTGTTGCTAAAATTATGAAGCCAGTAGTTTTATACTTCGAATCTCTAATAGGAGTCAAGTTCAAAAAACAAAATTAGACAAAAAAAAAAATTGAAGTAGTATGTAATACAAATACAGAAGTTTCATTGTTTTTTCTCTACCTGTTCCAATCAGGGAGTGTCTTCTTGTAAATAGAATCAAGGGGTAGCACTTGTTGTCGACCTTGAGTTTCATCAAAAATAGAACGAGCAGCTTCAGTAGTCAGTGTGACTACACAGTCCATGTCGCTTGCCAAATGCCAAGAGATAACTTTTGCTGCTTCATTATCTTCAATTTGTGCTAAATGTGCAATCTGTACCACAGAAGTTAGAACAGTCAAAACAGAAGCCGAGGCCACCTCCCTTTTTCATACTAATCACAATCAACCTGAAACGTCAATCAAACATTTAATTCCCCTGTTGACAGCTCTGTTAGAAGGGCTGGTCCTCTGATTGGTTGAGAATGCCATCTTCTTTTTAATACTCCTCAAAAATTACTTGCATATTCGGTTGGCTAATTTTTCATCAATACCACTTCCTGGAAACAACAAAACTCATTTGAAGGTGCTCTGAGAGAAAACTCACCTTGCCTAAAATATCCTGGTTGCCTTTTGGATAGTTTGGAAGGGTACATGTTCGCCTTGGCTGTTTCATTACTCCTTCTTGATCCAACATCTTTTGTTTTATAAGAGAATCCACATACTGAAGCTGAGAATTAAAATTTAAAGTTAGCAAGCATATATCATTGGGCCAAGCTGCAGAAGTAATCACTTTACCTGTTGTCAATTAAGTTCCTAACAAAAACCATTCAATAATCTGAAACAGACTCTTAATATATAGGGGACCACTGCATATAATCTCAGCGGAGAGGAAAAGGAGGCACATGGCAACTGTGACTATGAACTTTTTTATTGCTACTTTTTTTTAAAGACTTTCAGGGACCTTTTGGTGAAGAGCTACCAGAGCTTGATTAAAGCCAAAACTGAAGAAGTTTAAATCAGTAGGAAAAGGCAATCACAAATATACAAAAAGAAACCATTTTAGAAGGGGACTATGTCCATGCCTGAAAAATTTAGCCTGCTGGGGGAACTTGGGTATCATGATTGCACAATGTGTATAATTTGATTTTACTGATTTGTGATTAATGACTGTAACACTTGTTTCTATTTGATCTAACAATAACTGATAGTTTACATGTTGTTTTCCAAAGTGTTAGTAGTTTGAAAATTTTCTTTAAAAAGTTTCTTTAAAATTTAATTGGATCTTTATGGGAAATCAGCAAAGGGGTACATTGCCCTGATGCCCTGATTACTTTTACATCAACTTTGGCAATAACATACAAAATTCACTAATTCTCTGAAAAGAAGTGTTTTTCTTTGGTCTACTTATGCCAGAATACATCCAGTGTATATTGATCAGCCTGCAAAAATCAATAGTTAAAACTAGCAGTACCAGTAACACAACTGGGAACCTTAGTAGAAAGGCAAAACCAAGATCAGGATGTAAAAGAGAAGCTCTTATTATTTCCACAGAAGTTTCTTTAAAAGATAGTCACACTAGCAGAATAGTTAAAAGAGTTTGGCATTGATCCACAGATTTTCCTCGCAGAAGTTTCTTTAAGAGATAGTCACACTAGCAGAATAGTTAAAAAAAAAAAAAAAAAAAAAAAAAAAAGAGTTTGGCATTGATCCACAGATTTTCCTCATGGTTTAAGTTTTCAGGGTTTCAGTAACAGGTGCTTGTGTATATACCAGTGTGATTCAATAATGTTATATAATGATATCAATTTCATATTAAGATTATTTTTAAGATTTTATGGAGCTTAGTAAGAAATAAGCCATACTGTGTGTGTCTGTGGTAATTCAATCTGGTGTTTTTTCAGTTCGTTCTTCAGCTGAGTTTCTCTTGTTTCAGCTTCTTTAACCTGACCTGAAACCAATAAAATCAGAGTAAGGAAATATGAGAAAGCAACAGAACATTTCTTACAGAATTTCTTACAACTTTTCAGAATTATGCCACCCACAGCTGATAGTATTTACTTCTCAATTTTGGCACAGAAAATCACGATTTGTCCACAAAGATCCTGTGATTTGTTCAGCTTCTAAGCAATTTCACCAGCTCCCATCTCCTTCAGCTTCTAGAAGCAATGGGGGCAAGTCCTTAAATCAGTCTGAGAATGTAAGCTCTTTCTTCTTTTCACCCTCAATTATCTTTCCAAATGGTTCTGCAACAGGCAAAATGGCAAGAGGGAAGGGAAGAGTGGTAGCTGGCACTATCCTCTCTTGCCTCTTATATGGGACACAACTTTCTGGACACTATTTCTTCAACTCTCATATCTGAACTGAAGCAATTTTGAAAACAAATGAGTAAATGGGTGAGTTGCTTCCCACTCTATTCAAACAGGTTTATATTTGGAAACTTTATTTAAGCATAAAGTATAATGTTGTGCTCTAACTTACTCTCTAGAGATGTACAAAAATCTGCAAATATGAAGTAAAGCTTTTCGTCTTTCACACTGGAATTCAGAAATTTGCAACCATAATGGAAACACACAGTAAGCACAGCCCTGTACTAAAATTACAAGAAATAGCAGCATCTTCTAATTCCAGCATGCTTTATTTGCATTTAGTGATTACTTCTAATATAAATTCAAAATGCATCTATTACAACAAATCTTCTGATCAACAGACAGGATGATTCAAACAAAAAACATAATGGAAAGAAAATGTTTCCTTCATCTCTCCCATTCCCATAAACAGCTGCCCTCACACTTCTCTGCTGTTTAACAGACTTTATAAAGGATTATATTTGCTGAAGAACATGGATATAAACAATGAATAGCTGCATAATACTTTCAAATAACGTATCTAAGGTCAAATGTGGGGGGAAAAAAGTAACTTTTTGAAAATATAAGACTAACTTTTTGAAAGAGGATTATCTATAATTCATTCCCTAAAGTAGTTTTTAGGCAACCACTGAATTTCCAGATGGATATCAGTCACATATCCATTGCAAAGACGGGAGTGCAAGGCAGTCATGAAAAAAGAATCAGTCCACCAACCTCAATGGTTTATTTCTCCTTTTGACAGTTCTGACATAAGACATTATAGCTCAATTCAAGACCCTTTATAGGTAGGTCCATCCAAGTAACTAGACGCTTCCCTGCTAATGCAAAGATACACTCCTCTCCACTCCCCTCTAATTACTCTATCTCATGATTTCAGTACCGATTTTTCTCCCCCTCTCTAGATTCTCAAAATTATTAAAGGAAAAAAGTTTAATTTCCAGGAAATGTATTTATATATTTGACTGAACTTACATTTTATTTCAGTTACAAGCTGATTAGTAGTATCGAACCAACTTCTGTAAACACCTATGGATTGAGATAACTGGTCTCTCTCCCTTGTAAGTGTTGCCATCTGTTGCTGCTTCTTGAAATCTACAGAAATAAATATATATATATTTAGCAGAAAATACAGTAACATACTTCCTTGGTTTAAACATCACCAAATTCTATTAAGCTATTACACAGTTCTGAAGAGGTATTAGAACCAACTATTTTTAGGTCCATAAGGAAAAGCAAGCATTTTAGAGTAATTGAAACATACCATTGTAAAACATAAATGACAGACGGTATGGTTCCAAAGGTTTTTTCAAAGCTGGCAGATCTGGCTCAAATACAAGAATATATTCAGTGCTATCTCTTCCAGGACTGTTTTCAGCCAGCACTAGATTCTAATAAAACAAACAAACATACATACATATGTAAGTTTATGTTCACACTTGAGGTAATACACAAAATAAAATAAACATTCTTCAAATACTAAATCTTAGAAAGTTACCTAACACATGATGTCTATGCAACATTACTACAGTTTTAAGTATTGGCTTGGAAATGCCTTTTATACCTAATAAAAAGAAGAAAAATACAGAGATTTATCAATAACTTTTATTATTTAAGAATTAAGATTGCCATTTTACCTGTTTAAATAGTCTTATTATTTTTGGCCATATATTTTGTTTGAGACGTGCTCAGAAAAAAATATCTGCACTGTCCCATAAGCAAGATTTCCTTGGATGTACTTCATCCAGCATGTGAATAAACGCAAACGGATAATTAAAAAGAAATAGCCAATGCATAAACACACAGAAAGAAAAACAAAGTATTCCCAGTGCTGAGTTAAAGTTACTGCTGTTACCATGGAAGTAGACAGCAGCTCCCAAATGGATGAACTACATATATCCAAACACTAACATGAACATCCGATTTCATATAAATTCTTTATTGAAACTAAATCCTTTGCCTTTCTTTACAAACACAGGAAATATTATAAAACCATAAAGAATGGTAGACAGAAATAAAATTAGTATAGGTAATATCTAAATGTGCTGTTACTTTGGGAAAGGTATCATGCATAAAATGAATAATGCTTATAATAAAACTCATACTGTTTCCACCTTTAACATGTAGAAATTGCTACTCAACTGGCCAAATCAAGAGAGAGGTGGTTGCAGCCTAAAAGAAGAGATAGATATATAACCTTCAAAGATAGTCTTCATGGCTTTCAAAAATATTGCAGCTACATATTTAATCAGGAGAAGTCTGTAGTGGAAATATCTTTTCCTTAGAAAATTTACACCAATAAAAATCTAAACATTTTCCTTCATTAAACAAGTTTAGTATTCCTGCACCTCAGTGTAAGGGTAACATGTCAGATTATCAGCTTCATTGCTCTGATGCTAATTGCACGTTTATATTTATAAACAAGATGGAACAATTTGAAGATATTTGAAAAAACAAACAAACAAAAGAACATTAATGTTTCCCCTCCCCATTACTAGTTATATGAAAAGTACATTGCATCACAACAAACAAATCCTTTCCACATGAGTTTTGTGAGCTGTCTGAAGTCAGAGAACTCAGTATAAACTAGACAACTGAAAAAATTGCCTGAAGAGGGGAAGAGATATGGGATTCACCGAAATGGAATTGTTCCCAATAGAATACTAGGGAACACAAGTTACTGTCAAAAGCAGTAGGATCTCATCAGATCACAGTAATGAGGAAGCAGAAGAACACAAATGCGATCCCCCAAACAAACCAGGAATATGTAAGTAGAAAGAAAAAGCATCTGCTTACCAAAAAAAAAAAAAATCCAACACAAACCAAACAAAAAAAACCTCCAAACATGCCCCCTCCATTATATACGTCATTAGCTTAGTCACTGAAGCAAGACTGGAGTATATAGGTCACAAAGGCTCAACAACAGGTTACTACTACATGGAGACAAAAAAAAGTGTTACTTCTGCATTGTAAGTAGTCTGAGAAATTATCCAGTAATTTTACCTGAACTGTCAGAGTCCACCCTATGGGGTTACTCCCCGCAACAGTAAGAAGTTTTAAACATCTACTGAAATTTCTGCCACAGGTGTAAATGCAAGATTTGTGGAGAAAAGCGCTATTTTATTGGACAAGTGGTTATAGCTGACCCCTTAGCTATACTTTTGCACTTTCTCCCCATCCCACCTGCCCGAGAAAAATGTGTTCACAAACCAATTAATTTATTACTCCTGAAACATGGTTGGGGAACAAGAGTACACCATAAATCAATCAGTATAATAATGCTATCTGATACCACTATTCAGTCCATGCATTTTATTTTTCTAGCTTGTTTTTCATACATATTTTGTCACTTTTCCTTATGGATCAGAGTAGACCAGAGTTTGACAATTTTGTTCAGCGAAAAGTGTTTGCCCATGTTAATTGGATGTTTCTGTCCCTGACTGCTTTTGACAGAGAATTATTTATCCTGTGTCATTAAGTTTCATCTATGTAGTTCCATAAAAGCAGCTGATGTACTGAGTAAAATGTATTATGAAGTATGTGTGTAGGATCTGTAGATTTTAGTGATTCTACTAGGGTTTTATTATGGTGATTTCCAAGAGGTACTGGGAGATTTTGTATTTGTTGCTAAGGCAGTGTCTGCCTTGACCTGGCACACACTGATGCTTGTCTGTTGGGAAGCTGCTTCCAATGAACGAGTTAGAAAAGGTGGCCAAGAAAATGTCCTTAAAAATTTGGATCTTCCTTCATTACACCTTCTAATTTTTGAAGTTTTCCATCGATTTCAGGCTAGTAAAATATGTGTCAAACAGAGGAACCAAATTAAGTAGGGGTATACTTTTGCTCTGCAATTCTTATATGATACTTCAGCAACTTAAAAAAAAATTATCTGTATTTATATTTATTTCACCACGTAAATAGTCCTATTGACTGAAGTTCTCTTTAGGCTTTTAAGAGAGATATTGTCACCATTCCACTCAGAACAAATGTGTGGCTCTACACTCAGCTATTTTATTTTTTTTTTGTTATGTTTTGAACAGTTTCTAGTTTTGTGCACGTGCATGTTTTAACTTGTGTCTTGTCTCTTTTACATTATACTTTGTAACAACTGTTATAAATGGAACTCATAGGTTTTAAAAATCCAATCTGTATTTGTTGAAGAAAAAGTGACTGTGATGATGCGACTACAATATGCAGTACTTTCAGAGGTATGCATGATGCTACAGCCAGAGATCCAAACTGAAATAAGGCAAACATTTTTAACAGTCAAGAGCATTAATGACTGAGATAAAGCATAAAGAGAAGTGGCAGTTTTATCTCTTATTCTTCAAATAACGATAGGATGCCTTTCTGCAAAGTATATATAAGCTCAGTTAGCCTGACAAAATGTAAAGAGAACCTGGTAACATTTAATTACATATATATGAAGAGGTCAGACCGAATGATCTTAAGATATTACAGACAGATAGTATTAGAAATAAATATGTAAAATACCACTAAAATTAATGGTTTAGCTACAAATTGGTGAAGTTGCCCAGTGAGGTAGTGGAGGCCCCATTCCTGGAAACTTTCAAGGACAGGTTGGACGGGGCTCTGAGCAACCTGATCTAGTTAGCGGTGTCCCTGCTCACTGCAGGGGGGTTGGAATAGATGGCCTCTAAAGGTCCCTTCCAACCCAAAACATTCTATGATTTTATGATTCTAAGTGTTATTTACATGTGAAATTCAAGCGAGATTTATCCTGAAACCCCCTGTATGTCCCAGTCCCTGAGGTTTTGAATATTCCTGGTAAACTTCCCTTGCTTGGCAAAGATAACCAGTTTAACAAATGTTTTTCCTTCAGGTTGTCTGAAAATCAGCAAACAAACAGAGAAGAAATAACTTTTCTGCTCATCAGTAAGGGAAGACTACAACATATGCTAACCCTCCACAAACCGTGATGAAGTGCGAGATCCAACTTTGAACTGTAGGAAAACAGGCCTCATTAGATCCATTGCTTGTGGAGCTAACTGTGTATTTCAGTCACACTTACAATTTCAGCTGATCCTCTGTCAAATGGAAACTCAATTGTACTGACTTTCCCCTGAAACTGTGGGATCTCTGTATCATCTTCATTGGGGCTCTTAATTTTTGCTATTATTCTGCCAACTAGATCGATTCCAGTGTGGTTGTTGTACTTATCCTGTAAGTAAAAAAGACAAAAAAGTTAGCTTGGAACATGAACTGAGCTAAGTAATCCATTTATATACTGCATTGAGTTTACGTGGCAAGGTGCTGGCAGTGGGGGGCTGCAGGGTGGCCTCTGTGAGGAAAGGCTGGGGTTGACCCATGCCGGACACAGCTGGTTCCAACAAACCCACCGCAGGGCACAGCCAAGCCCCTAAGCCAAGATGGTGGTTCCTCTGGGAAAATATATTTAAGGGCAAAAATGCACAGGCAGAGAAGGGAGGGAAAAGGGGGGGGAGGAGGAGAGAGAGGGCAGACGGAACACCAAGGTGAGAAGAAAAAGCGGGGGTAGGCGCTCCAGGAGCCAGAGCAGAGATTTCCCTGCAGCCTGTGGGGAAGCCATGGTGGAGCAGGTATTCCCCTGCAGTCCATCAAGGACTACAGTGGAGCAGATATCCACCCAGCAGCCCATGGAGGACCCCACGTGGCAGCAGGTGGATATTTCTTGAAGGACTGCAGCCTGTGGAGAGGGCTCATGCTGTAGCAGTTCATGAAGGACTGCATTCCATGGAGGGACACACACTAGAGCAGGGAAACTGAGGAGGAAGGGGCGGCAGAGAGGAGCTCTCACGGACTGACCGTGACTCCCCATCCCCCTGCACCACTGGGGGACAGGTAAAGGAATCCGGAGCAAAGCTGAGCCTGGGAAAGGCTGGGGCGGAAGGTGTTGCTTTACTTGTTTTGTCTTTGTTTCTCACTACTCAAATCTATTATAATTGGCAATAAATTAAATTCATTTTCCACAAGTCAAGTCTGTTTTGCCCACGGCAGTAACTGGTAAGTGATCTCCCTGTATCCCTAAGGAAACCTTATTTTTTGTAATACAAGATTTCTAAGAGAAACTGTCTCCTGGAAGAATCATGGAGAGAAACACCTACTGTATAAATAAGTGTTTTCCCACTAGAATCTATTCTTGAAACATTTTTTTTCTGGTGGCATCAAGAAATGGGTTTTAATTGAGATGCCTGACAGCAAAGATTGCATGTTTTAGTTCTGGTCATCTGTATGTAAACAGAACAAGATGTACCTGTCATATACTGGACATCACTGATTTACACCTTTTTTGTGAAGTTAATCTGCAAAGAGATAGCAGCAATGCCTTACAGCAAAATTCAACAAATTTTACCAGTCTTATGTATTTCCCTAATTGTGATTTTGTATTAAAGTATAGTTACCATTACATGGAGGTATAAATCCTTGACCAGTGTACGGCTAGTAAGAGCTCGAACATTGGAAACTGCTGGAGTAGCTGGTAAAGAATCAGGTAACAAGCGTACAGGGTCATTAGGTACAACTTCAACTATAATCTAGCAGAAAAAGGAGGAAGAATAAAATAAAACAAAACAAAATAAAGACCAATATAATTCACTGCAATTCACGTGCACACATGGGTTGCTCAAAAAATACTGAAACAAATGCATGTGAAATTTACTGACAACCTTGAAATAAATTAGCATGACGATAAACCAGTTCTACTAGGTTGCAAATTATGCAGCTCTGTTATTCCACAAAATTTCTGATAGTTATAAAAACTAATGAAAACATATTTTGATAATCAACAGTTTGAAATCAGTAACTATCAAAAATGAAAATATAATTTTTTGCACAGCTTGCACGTAAAAGTATTTGCATCCTGAATCTACGAAGTATCATAATATTTCTCCCAGATGATTCTGTATTACATGTTCTTGGCTACATATAATTAATTATAGGTTCAAACCTGGTCACTGCTGAGCATATTTGTCTTATCCATTGCAAAGGTAAACTGGATACTGTAAGTGCCCACTCTCTCTGGAACCACTTTATCTCTAAATAAATCAAAAACAAAAACCAAGCAAAAACGAGTCAATACTGAAGTGACATGTGTGTAAGTATGCAAGCAATTAAAATTCTGAGTAGTCCTCTGAACTAATTAGAGAGTCCTGTTGAGGCATGACTTATTTTAGTACTCCTCCGTAATACTCCTCCTTCAGCAAGAACGCCATGAAAATTTCTAGACAACTAGAATATGGCTTCTGGAAGCTTGGATGAGGAAAGTCTCCTCCAAGAGTTTGTCTCTACTAGCTGACAGGAAGCTTGTCGTGGCCCTATTATTCAGAAATCTGCAAGTCTACCTCATTTCACTTTCCATTCAACGAATTTTCATAAAGCTACTGAAACACCGCATAGAGATGTTTAGATCTACAACAACAACAAATGCTCTCCAAATTCAATTATTTTACTCGAATTTACATAAAATCTGAGTAGCCAATTCCGTCTCTTACTCAGGAAGCGTACAAAGTTGGGTAACTTGGACCAGAGGCCAAGGTTGAGTACAGCAAGAGAGAAAAGAGTTTTCATTCTACCTTACAGCGTTCCAGAGTGCAGACTACTGGCAAAGAACCCCTAACATCAAAATATGAAGGGAAGACAGATGCCTGCACTTCTGCTGCTATAAACAGAACTTCACCTAGCAAGGAAGGCCACACAGCATACAGAACACTGCTGTAGTGTTCAACAAGGGATAGCAGTGACTTACAAATGCTTAGAAACTTTTGAGGAGATGCAAACAGCCTCTAACCAAGATTCAGACATTTCTCTGAGAGGCACTCAGAGACTTTATGGCACTCCTGAATTGGCTAATGAGGCTTTTGTTTTCAGCATACAGCATTTTATCTGTTTTGTCAATAACATTAAGCAATTTCTCTCCTCTTATTTTGCTTGGGAAGAAGTGAGATGCAAGGCTCCCTGGAATGCTTAACTTGTGAAAAAACAAATTCCCCAAGCTTTACCTATTTCTAGAATGGGCCATGATTTTTCCTTTTTGTATTTCATATAGAGTAGGAATAATTCTACCTTCTTTTCTGCATTTTATCTAGGTTAAGATATAAAGTAGCATCTGCCTTGTCAGGATGCATTAAAAAACTGAGTTGTAAATAACCTGCTGAGTATCTCAAGGCTGAACACCATCTAACCAGACATATGCTTTCGAAAAAGACATTGCACGATTGTGAAGAAAGTTCTAGGACTGCGCAATAGTATCCGTGTTACTGACTGGCGTTAACCAGATCAAAACCATCTGTGATTGTGCCAAGAACAGGAAAACTTGAGAGAAACCAGGTGGTATACAGTGATGCCACAGACATTGGCAGTAACGAGTAATACATACCTTCTGACAAGGGCTGCTAATGCGTAGTCTCTACTTACTGTCTGTTTTGTTAAATTTTTCAGTAAGGTTAGGAGTTTTAATTCTGGACATTTGTGGACAACTAGTAAACTACAGGTAGTAATGTTAACGGTTTCACAATTCCATATTAAACTGTATGTAGGTTAGTTTATATCACACTGACCACCGTAGTACTTTTCACAGGAGAACATTTATTAGCATGACTACACACTGGCACGTTCATTCTAGTTTTCTTTTTCTAGAGATACAAATACATGATGCAGATTGCCTTGTTTTGATGTTTTAGGGAGTTCCTATGTTTTAAGTACAACCATAACTAAGAATTTCTCAGAATGACCAAGGTCACAGAAATGCACCTCATACTTGGTCCAAGTCTGCTGTGACCCTTGGTTTCTGGAGAAGTTCCTCCTGTAACATTGGACTAGCCACACAGAAAGCTCTGATCTGTTAAAAGCAAAACCACCCCTTTTTTTGGGAGTCTCCTTGTGCTATAGCTGCCAAACTCAGCCTTAGAAAGCTCTGGAACTTTGAGTTCCTTCCAGGTAAAGGCAGATCTTGGTAATGATACAAAAAGCCATGCTTAAATAGCTTTTTGAATTAGTCCTGAACTCTATTACACGCCTCAAAAGTGCAGAGAGCAACAGCTGTGAGGCAAGTTAGGAAACTTCCTGTCACCTCTTGAAGTGCTGCCACTCAGATGCTCCTGGAATCCTGACACAGCTGAGCTGCAGCAGCCTCTGTTCCTCTGATGCAGCAACCAGGATCAACTGTGCAACAGTGGCACATGCTGCATCAAGGTGATCCTAAAGTCTGCTTTCTAAAAGCAGAAGGAAAGTCTGTTCCTAGAAAGCAAGAGCTTGAATCAACAGCCAGTACCCACAACTTTTTAAATGATCCATCCCATAGCATGCCTGCCAAGAACAGATGTAGCAAGAATGTGGCAGCTGGGCACCAGCTTATGATGAACTTTAGTTCTGCTGCCTGTCATCTAGAGACACCATCTCTGAATACATAACCCAAGGGAAGGCCACTAAACCGACAGTGTCACTGTCATGGTGCAGGATTAACACACAGTTACAGAAGGTATTAAATCAGAGTTAAGTCCACTTTGTCCAGCATGCAGTTCTACAGCAGTTGAACATAACATTGAAAAGAATTAAGGAACGTTACTAGAAAAGTGACAAGCAGATGATGTAGTCCCTTCATTGCTAGCATTTCTCATCATGTATTCGAATATATTATTTCAGACTCCTTTCTTCTACACTCAGATTAAACAAATGTCAAATGTATCTAGGGAAGCATTCAAACCTCGTGTTCATTGCATCTTGCTAATACCTTTTATCATTTCACAGCACTGTATCATACTAATTCTGTAACAGATTGTTATTAGAAACAAGAGTTTTAGGGTTTGGTATTTCAAACTACTGATGCAACTTATTGCATAAAATAAATAATTATAAAATAAATGTTGTTATACCTGAAGTAAAAGAAGCCATCTTCCTTATCATCCTTCACTTTACTACAGCTAAATGTTGTAACCTGAAGAGAAAGATGCAAAAAATTTAATGCAATATACTTGGAAGTTAAAGTACCTTACTTGTAATATGCTATCAAGTTTTAATGATTTGCAGTACTGATAGCATACAGAAATTCAATGAAATCACCTATAATTTCTTCTTCGTAGTCTTAATTCTCAGAGTCTTTTCTTTGCAAAATTATGGGTGGCAACTTTTAAGTCTCCCTGCTATTAGTTGGTTTATGCAGAGCAGTAGCATTTTTGTCCTTACTATAGTCTTGACATTTGAACAGTTTGACAACTTGTAACAGGACAGATACTGATAAACAAATATGACTGATGTGTAATACTTGTTCTTTAAAATCTAGAACAGCATTTTGATCCATGTTAAATGAAGGAAAGTTTCTACTGCAAATACGTTTGTCCTATGCCGGCATTTTGATATACATTTTGAAAACACATGTTGATGACTTACATCAATTGGTATCCTAGTTCCGCTGCTCTGTGCTTCCCACATTTTCATAGAAATCCGTGCTGGATTAATATTTTTAATAATGTTGTCATCTTCAGAAAGAACACTAACCATAAAATCTGTAGAATGAAAGACAATATTTTTTCAAGATAATTTTAACTCAGAATTAAGATCAAACTCTGTGAATTTCTGTCTCCCCCTGATACCTAGAGGAAAACCACACAAAACCCACATTCCAAACAGAACCCAAACAACAAAAAATTTAAAACCAGATATGGAAAACCTTTTCTTCCTAGCCCTGTAGTTTGACCAGATAGCAATCCTTAGAAAAACAAAACAAAACAAAACAACAAACCACCTACTTTTTCTAATGACTGCTTAAAAAAAAGCCCTCAAATTTCAAGTCTGCCTTCCCCAGATTATCATCCTTATCAAAATAGCAAGCCAGGCTTCATCTTGCTCTCAGGGAAGTACAGTCATTAACTAGTCAAGCAGCTGATTCCCTTCTTCAAGGACAGGAAATCCTGATGTCCTGGATTTGGCTAGGATAGAATCAGTTTTCTTCCTAGTAGCTGGCACAGCACTGTGTTTTGGATTTAGCATGAGAATAATGTTGGTAACACACTGATGGTTCCCAAGCAGTGCCTTACACTAGGTAAGGACTTCTCAGCTTCCCATGCTTTGCCAGGTGCACAAGAAGCTGGGAGGGGGTACAGCCAGGACAGCTGACCCCAACTAGCCAAAGGGGTATTCCATACATCATGCTCAGTATATAAGCTGGGGGGAGTTAGGAACTGGCAGGGCATTCGTTGGCAGGTCGTGAGCACTTGCATCACTTGTTTTTTCCTGGGTTTTGTTTCTCTCTGTCTCTCTTGTTGTTTTCCTTTTCATTAGAATTTATTATTACTATTACTATATATCAATTATTAAACTGTTCTTATCTCAGCCCATGAGTTTCCTTACTTTTGGACGTCCAGTTCTCTCCCCCATCCCACCAGGACAGGAGAGGGTAAGGCTGTATGGTGCTTGGTTGCTGGCTGTGGCTGAACCACGACACCAGATTTCCCTCTTCCTTCACAAGTGCTTTAGCCACTGAACTGGATAGAAAGGCACAGTAATTGGAAAGAGACTGTACCAACACCACTACCATTTTCCCCATCTATTAGCCACACTGTAATAAAAAGAAGGACTCAGGCTATGAATCTGAAGCTGAGTTTGGCTACTCCTTACAGACTAATATCACACACTTAAATCTATTAGAAGTAGAACATAGGGAGATGTTTCACTCCTCCATTTGCTGTTGAATGGTCCTACGGTCAAAATACTTGCTATTTTATAGGCCGATCTGAAAAATTTAGCTTTTCTTATATATTCCATAGAAACTTCAGTGTTCTGAAGGAAATTGAACCCAAACTAGAATAAAGCTACCCTTTTTCTAGCTGAAAATGTGCTCTAAGCACTTTTGACACTATAGTTACAGGTGGATTTCAAGCATGTAATTGATGCTGCACTGCTCACATAGAACTGAATTTTGCACTTTCAAGAAAGGCTGTACTTTTATGTATGAAAAATTCAGGCATGACTTCCTCCAAGATTACAGTGCCTGCCCTCAGGTGTACCTGAGTTCACCAGTAAATCCAATAATTAGGGTGTTAATTAAATACGAGGCTGTTAGTAAGGGATTTAATATCTAATTTTATATCAAAATTTAATGTCATATATATATACACTATGTTATCTCCTGAGGAAGCTGTTTAATTATCTTCCTCTCTCAAAACCTCATTGATTTACACTACACACTACATTTGAAAAAGGTCTGCTTGGCAGGGGGGTTGGAAGTAGATGATCTTTAAAGGTCCCTTCCAACCCAAAACATGCTGTGATTCTATGATTCTATAGTATGCTTCCTCTAGGCAAAACTAAAATACCTTGTGAATTTAGTCAAGTTCTCAACACCGTGTGGAGTACTTTAAAGAAGAAAAACTTCTTTCTGTAAAGATGATGGCTCATCAAGTTATGTCAGTATAATTATCTTTGAATACGAACCTTCTCTGGGCAAGAAACAAGCCCCCACACCACAGACCTCATATTTGTGGGAGATACTCTGCTTCTCAAACTCCTAGTACTACAAATAATTCCTTTTTGTTCTAAATTTTGAGTAGACGTTGCAGGTATTTCATACAGGCTTGGGATACAACAAATGGAAGCAGATTTTGTATGAAGCAGATTTTCTAATTTTTTTGTCACCTTTAAGAGATGTTTACCATCGGGGAATCTAGAAGTATTTACAAAGGAGTACAGAGAATAGGTGGGAAAAATTTGGATGGTTGTGCTGAAATCACACTGTGAAACAGTAACTGAAAAGACAGTTTTAAGTCCACCTAAATGCAAAGGAAAGACTGAAGTATAGGAAGGACTGTGTCCTGTAGCAGCTTTCTTTAATAGTGTTTGTTTAAGGAACTTGCCAAAAGCTCTCTAAGAAACCAAGTACCCTACACCAGCAGGATCACTCCCATTCACACAGTTGTCAATTCCTTCAAATGCATTTGCAAGGCACCACTTTCCCGTACAAAAGTCACATAGTACCCAACCTGTTCCCCTTTCTACATTTATCCATGTACCAACTTAACTATATTCTTTATATTCCTTCCAACAACTTCCCAGTACTGAAAACATATCTTCTGATGAAAAGTTTCCCTGACCAATCCTGAAACTTTTTGAAAACTGCATCAGATTTGCCAGCTTAATTCACTCCCTTCAAATAAAGGCCAAATAAAATAGGATTAGCATATCAGAGCTAGTAACTTAGCAATTTCATGCCTAAATTAATTTCTAATTCCTAAGTGAATACTGTTCACATCAGAAATTTGTTAGTAATTTCTTCATCAAATAGGTCTAAAAGTTATCTACTGAAGATTCAAATGTGATTTTTTATTTTTTCTTTTTTTTTCTTTTTTTTTTTTTTTTTTTTTTTATTTTTAAAACCAAGGGTGGGATCAAATGGGAAGAAAAATTAGTTTTGAAACTACCTTACTGACACAGGTACCAATGACAAAATACAGCAGGCTTCCCAAGTCTCAAATGTTTTTTGTTTTTTTAATTTAAATAAATTCTTACCAGTCTTTTTTTTTTTCCCCCTTCCTTAATATAGTATTAAAGTGACAGAATCATTTTTCTTTTTATCTAACTTATTTAGACAGACTTCAGTTTTCTGAAGAACATCTTTGCATCACTGTTTCACAGTGCAAGTTGTATTATTGCAAATTAAGGAGGAAAATTTTCTGGAAGAAGGGCTAGTAAATTCATATACTTCACTGGCAAATTCAAGAACTGTATCTCCCATGGTTATTATAAAGATGACTTATTTCTTGAATTAATGGAATTGGTTAGTATAGGTCTCTTATTCATGCCAAAGTTTCCTTATAAGGAAAAAACAGAGGTTTCAAATTCTGTTTTGCTTTTAGCAAAACATATTTTCTCATGTTCATACCCTGCTCTTCTTTGTAAGTTCTCCTTATTGTGAATACTACCAAACACAAATGAAAACATGAGATGGATTTTTTTCTTTTATGACTCAGCAGCCTTAGAAAGCAAAGATCATCCTTTTGTGAGAGAATACAGCGGAAGAGAAAAATACTCTGTACTATCCCTGGTGTACTTCTAATCACTTTTTGGTTCCCCTTGGCTCACACTTGGTCTATGATTTCACAACTAGCTCCTTTGTTACTATTCCACAGAAAATGCAATGAGGGAAAACATGCATGAACTAGCTCAGATCATCTTTTGGGAAGATTAAAAACTGAAATACAGTATTTTACTAAGGACAGAGAAGAGATTCTGTAGTTTTACCATTTATGGACAGATAAAACCATTAATGTGGAAAAAATAAGTAAGAGGTCTTTTGAAATACTTTCAAAAGATGACGTATAATTCCAAGTGTTACAGAGGCATATCAGATATGACAGTTACAAAGAACTGAGACAAAACTAACAAAAAAAAAAATTAAGAAAATACACCAGGAGAATCATCAAAATAGTTTTTCATAGGTTTACAAAGCTTTTCAGTGATTGGTTTCCACCAAAGAATCTTTATACTTACCAGGGAAGGTACCTCCTGCTGGAAAAGAAGCATTTTTGTCATATTTAACGTTCAAGCGGACAGGTTTCTCAGGATCAGGCAGGACATTTAATGTGATTATAGGACAATCTAACATGATCTTGTTGTATGAGGCTCTAATTTGTAAAGTGTGCTCTCCCCTGAAATATACAGAAATCATAAAAACTGTTACAAAGTATCTCTTCTGAAAAGACAATTTTCAACAGACTGTAAGTCTGAATCATGTACATGAAAGCATGATTAAAAAAAATCTAAAAGTTTTCAGTAGTAAAGGGAAGAAAAAATGGAAGTGTTAATGAGAAGTTAGACAAAATCATAATTTCAAGATATTCTTAAGATATTAGCTTATTAAATTTAATTTTGCTTTAATATTCATTAGCTTGATCATGTTTCATTGCCTGTCTGTAGAGACATTAGGAACTACAGCTTTAAGTTGCAGAAGAGAGTAAGGTGGAAAGCAAGCACAGCTAATTAAAATGCCATCTAAGGAGTATGCTGCTTTGACAGTTTCCAAAGAGTGAATCTGCATATAACTCACATCTAGCAAAGTGCATTGCAAGTACAGAATTACTTCATTGCTATAGAATAACTGATTTCTTTCCAGTATTAAAACTTAAATTTTAAACAGAACAGGGAATATGGCATTTAACTACATTGAGGCTGTACTCCCCAGCCAGTTTTGATTATGCTGTACAATGTAGGATATTACCACTGAGCACACCTGTTTTGAACCTCAAGGAATGTATTGATAACTAACATTCATAATCCTACCAATATGCAGGCATTATAAATACACTGAGCACCATCAATAGCATTTAAAATACATTTTCCTCCAAATGCAAAATAGTATTACGGGTCAAATCCTGCAGATATGATGCAAAAATATTAACTGCCATGAAATACTTCAGAAGTTTAATAACAAGCACTTATTGCTAGCTTCTAAGCTACCTAAAGCCAACCTCATCTTGCAAGAAAAGTTCAGGGATACAGGGCGTGGGTAGCAGAACCGTGAACATGAGGAGGATATAGAAATAATGAATTTGGAAAGTCAGATGGGACATGTGAGTGTAAGGGGAGCCAGGGCAACTGACATGAAGAAGCAGGAACCACAAGACACACATCTGCAGGAAATGAGACTTCATTAGTTCTATTGCAAATAAGAAAAAATAGATATTTATCTTTAAAATTCTGTTGGACACTTTACCTAATCCTTTAAAACAATGGCTAGCACACAGAGGAAGTGGGGTTTCAACACTCCTAAAATGTGTTCCTACTTTGAAAGTATAGCATCTGGATCTGGTCACTCAAAGCCTGTACATTTCAAACATTTTAAGTGGTTTATGACACAATCTGCACTAGGTACCAGTTGACAATTATAAGCTGTGTTTTACCATAACCAGAAAAAACAGGATTCAGAAAATTAGAGCAGCAGCTTCTCAAAAGACCAGAAGCAGCAGCTATGGAATTTTATTTTACTTAGTTAAGCACTTAATTTCTTAAAGCTCACTACCTGGCCTTCCACTGGCATATAAATAATAAATATTTGACCTTAGATTAATTCTTGGTAGGTACTTTATGAAATGCGCAGCTTAAATACATCTAGCAAGCGACATTTCAGAATCCAAATTTTTTCCGTATAGTTTTCACTACTTACCTAGGTGCATGGATACTAATAATTCCCAGGTTAGCCCTACCATTTTCATCTGTTTTATGTTGCTGGTTTGAAGGAACAATCTGTCAAAAAAAATATTTTTTTATTCTTTCAATGATGCAGAAGGAGTATCAAGTCTTAAATCAAAGCATATCTCATTTGCCTGCATACTGTCTTTCCACTTGAGCAAGAGCTTTTCTGTATTTTTGCACTCT